GAACTGAAAATGAACAATAAGGAGCTAATGCAAAGCGGCTATCAATTGATGATGATAACGATGAAATTATCGCGCGCATTCTTCATTTTATTGTACTCTTATGCGCTTTTCAGTACTTTTCGGGGAAGTTTTCGGACAGACTGCATTGAACAGTTTAACTTTTGAAAAGGAATTTTTCAGGCGCCTCCTTGCCGGGTTTTTTAACGTCTCCTGTTAAGAGTTACAGAGAAGATGCAGGAAACGGGGGTTACGGTTTTCCGTCCATATCCGGGACAAGATTATCAAACAATTTGCAGATGTCATAGCCAGGTGGCAGCACATTCTCCTCAGATGTTTTTAGACTGAGTGATGTTCTGGTCTAGGGCTTGAGCCCTCGACCTCCGGCGCTCTACAACGTGAACAAACCAGGCGGTGATATTTGAGTAAAGGGGTAAGTTTCTAAAGAAACTGTGGTGCTGCGTCGGTGGGAGAGTATAGCAGGTAATTTAGTGTTAACAACTGGGTTGAAAACGTAAATTAGCCACCGTAAAGGGTAAAAAAGCTGACGTTTCGAGCGTTAGCCCTTCGTCAGAGCGATTGACGAAGGGCTAACGCTCGAAACGTCAGGTGGTATTTGAGAGCTTATTGATATTTGCTTATGCTTTTTACCCACATAACAGACATTGACATACCAGATACAATTGACACTTGGGGTGCAGTTACCTGCCACAAACCACACAATCCTCTTTTGACGAAATCAGAGAAAAGAATGTTGATGGCTTATATCTGAAAAACTCACCTTTCTCAATAGCTTGGATTAAAGTGGGTTCCAATTGAACAGCAACTGTTGCATCATCGACACATTCCACGTAGTTTGCTTTGAAATTTAAGAAATGAGGTTTAAAAAAGTGGTCATCACATGCAATTGCGGCAAAGACGCATGAAAAAATTACAATTGTATAAATTGCTGTTCATTTACAAAGATCATTTCTTTGCTTAATCTTGATCTGCTAAAGGGTGATATCTCTTTCTATGCTTCTTTTTTGCGGTTGCTCAATTTTTTTCCTATTCTTGGGGCAGATTGTGTATTCCGTTATCTTGTAACGCTGCATGAGAGATTTATATATTTAGAAATGAAATTGTTACCTAAACGGAAATGAGCTGTTGCCCTGTTGCTGTAAAGCTTGGCGTTCAGCCGTTTATCTTTGCAGTTCACTTGAAGTCCTTCCGTGTAGGAGATTATCGCATTATTAGCTTCTCCTTGTCTGTATTCTTTGCTACCTTTCTCCAGACATTCTTTTGCTATCCCTGAAAGCACACCATTTTACTGTTAATGATTTAGTAATGAGTAATAGGACCCTTGACTAATGATGCCAGCTTTATACTTCCAAACGAACTGTTAGGTTAAAGGAGCTTAGAGCTATGAAAAACGAAAATCAGAAAAATCTGGGCTGTAGCTTGGCTATTACCAGTTCAAGTTTCTCGGCTTACATTTGGGTCTAGAGACTTTCACAAACCTCCTTTTTTACCTGGCTTACGTTTTCCAAAATATCACAAGTTTCACCGGGAGATCCTATTTGAACTTAGCTTTGTTTGCAATCGCCCTTCAAGAGAGTTTATCTGTGCATTTTGTTAGCTTTAAAATATACAAGCTATCAGGAGTTTTAGCTGCAGTTTGGCTATAACCAGATCAAATCTGTTCGGTTTACATTTAGGTCGAGAGGCTCTCCAAAAACCCTTTTACACCTGCGTTACGCATGTTTTCTCTTTTTTGTGTGTGACTTGGTTTTTCTCATACGTGTAGTTGTTTATTGAGAACATACTCGAAGAGGCTAAATAGAGAAAATCTGATTGGGAAAGTACCATTTTCCCGCGAAGTGCCATTTCGTCTGTTGTAAAAGTCAGCGGTTCTATTATATTATTGGCTGGTGGCTTACAGCGTGGGTCTGGTGTTATCATAACTGTCCGAAAAGGTGTGAATTATCTAGAGGACCAAAACAGGCGATACGACTAAGACAAAATGCCTCCTCTTCTCTGTAGAATTCTAATATTGCGTAAAATTTCCTCCGAATTTGTATTGAGCAATGAGGGACAAAAACTTCCTCGAGGTGGCCCCCAAAAGTTACCCGTTTGTAAATTTTTAATACTGGACTTTAACAGGTCTACTGGTACCGACAGCTCTCTCTCGACGAAAATGACTTTCACACTAAAAATGACCACATTTTGGGTATTTTCAAATGCAAAAGAATAATACTTCTTCTTCGCAATTATCATTCATTTTAGGTGCAAATTGTAGATACATATTTATTCTTAAAAATACCGTGCACTTCTAAAACTCAGAAAACGGAGTTTTACCAAGCCTAGGGGGCCAATTTTGTCACATTCTTTTCTAATTTAGGGTTCTTCAAAGCGAAGTCGCGTTCAAATTTATCGGTTATGAATAATTAATGATATCTACGCATTCTGCTCGATCGGATCGAGTTATAAATTGTTTTTCCTTTGTTTTATATTTTACTGGTAACAAAGTTTGAAATTTGAAGAAACAATCTTTTGCTGTTTCGAAAACTTATCCACAGAACATAAGCAAATTTTGATGTAAATGTGACAAACATTTCTTGATTCACCAGGTGTTCTTACCTCTTAAAGGGTCATCGTATACATCCAATTCAGCGTCACTTGACGTAACCTGACTTTTCTCTGTTGCTGAAACTACAGAGAACTTTGTTAGTGATCACATCTATGTGCAATTACAACTAGCGTTCTTATACTGGCGTATTTACTGGATTACTCAAAACCTTCGAGTCGAAATGATCCAAAACATTGTGCATCAGAATTAAGATATACTTAATCAACAAACAGTACAAAATCATCATGACGAAGTCTTTCCCTGTTGCTTTTCCTCACCTGTGGCTGGAAACTCGTTTTTCACCTCCAGTTCTTCTCCCGTTGTTGGGAGGTTGCTATCTTCCATAGTTATAAGTAAAATTGGATCGATTGTTCTGCGTTACATTGCTAAAAATAAAAAAGAGGAGACTCAGATGAAAGTAAGTTAAAGAAAACATTGTTTACTTAATCATTGAGGAAGAATGAGAATCTCAAAGTTTCCTCCGTCACGCTGTTGTGGTTGCGTGACAGCTCCGGTCAAGTTCTATGGGTTGCGTCATGTTTGTTTTTTCATTTGTTTGTTTGTTTGTTTTCGTAGTCTCATCTGATAGGGCGTCGTTCAAGGCTTTCCCTTAGTTGCACGCGGTAGGCACGGATAAGCATGGATCAAAAATAATGCAATAAAAGACTCTTTCTCTCATTCCTTCATTATATCGCGTGTGTGGCTTGCGAGAATTCGCGAAACTTATTCCAAACCGAAACACCTTCAAGGGTTTTTGTAACCGTCACGAATTCTGCTAACACCCCGCGAGCCCATTGCGTTAAGAAACACGTTTATAAAGTTACCTATGTGAAAAATGTCCCTCAAAGTATCGAAAATTGCTGGATATAGTCTTTTTTTTGACAAAATTATAAGTTCCAGTGAATAAACTCCTTCATTAATTTTTTTTTGAAGGAGCCAAGAAATTTTGAATAACCGAAGTACCTGGTCCCTTTTGTTGGAAAAGGACCCGATTCGTTCATTTCGAATTAAAAAGAGGCACTGAATACGAGGTTATTTTGAGGGACTGGAAAAGATGGCACTGGAAAGT